AAGCCGCCGAGCTGGAGGAGGAGTCCGCCCGCGACCGCAGCCTTCCTCCTGCCGCCCCTTCGCCGTGCCGCAGCAGCTGTCGAGCAGGCTGAGGGCCGCTTTCGCTGTTAAAGAAAAGTAAATCCTCCAATAATCCAATTTCCCAAACATGAAATTTTCCTGCATGGAAAGGGAGTGAGGTCATCGTGAGAGTCGTGCCAAAGAAAGTCATGTTTTTGGGGGGTAAACAGCTAATTACGGTGGCTGAGAAAGGCGTTGCGAGAACTCCTGCGGGGGGAAGTGTTTTGCAAACCTCCAGATCGCGGCCTGAGCGGGGAGGCTGAAATAAAGCGAGTTTTCAGAATTCAGTGGCACCTGCCTCATAACACGGGGAGGGTTTTTCTGGTCGGGGAAGGGGCCGATAGAGTTACAGCCCGCTGCCCTCCAACAGCACTGAAAGTGTTCCAGGTTGGGAGAGCTCTTTGTAAAAAAGACAATAATCCATTTGTTTTTGATTTGAGCCATATTTGTGAAAGTTCATATTCCTGTTTATACCTACAGGTGCTCAGCAAGCATTCCTGTGTGGTAGCCAGTGCAGCTTTATTAATTAGACTCACGTTTCTCCAGTAAAAGCACGGGCTTGTATTATTTTACAGCTGTGCCTTGTGCAAAGGCGTGCAGCTCTGCCTTCTCTTGGTCTTCCTCCCTCAGCAGCCAAAGGAGCAGGAGGTTGGAAATGCCGCAGCGCAGGAGGGAGGCCGGGAAGGCGAGGCAGGGAGAGCATGCAAGTTCTCCTGCCAACGTACGGATGGATCCCGAGGGTTCTCAGGGGACTGCTGACAGGCAGAGCAAACCTCTGCTCTTGGTCTCATGGTAGGAAAGAGACGCTGTAGTGGTCAAAATGGCGCTGGATTGAGCTCGGTGAAAAGGCCCTATTGAAATTACTCAAAATTATCACCAGAGTCTGGAAGCGGGGGATTGGCCAAGTTTACACCAGCCACGTGGCTAGGTGGTGCTTGGAAATGTTTAGGTGTGGAGGGCGTTTGCGTGGGGATGGCAAAGCCGAGCTGCTGCGGCGAGCGCCTTCGGCAGGCACCGAAGCC